GATAGTGGTGCCCTCAGTAATGGGGAGCTTTGGAAGGCAGGAGTGGTTATTGGGAAAGATAATGAATTCAGTTTTTGATATATTAAATGTAAATTGTGGACATGTTAGAAGATGTCTGCAAGACATCCAGTTTGAGATATTTAGTAGGCAGTTGGAGATATTTGTACCGGCCGCTCTGACCTTATGCCGGCCGCGCTGAACACTCCTCCTATAAGGAGCAGGCTGCCAGAGTCATACTCACTCATCAGTCTTCGGTCCTCAACCGGATAAACATACAGAGACAAGCCATCGGGAGGCGCCAACACCAGAGCTTTATTCAGAGGCCGTCACAGCAAGCCATCAGAGCAGGAGCAAAGAGAGTGCGTGATCTGACCACGCTTGTTCCTTAAGTACCTACTTAGCCCCTCCTCCCCAGCCCGCTTACTAGCCAATGATTGTAGGGTCAGATACCGAAAGGGGCTGTCTGAGTTTAGCACACCAAGGGAGAGGGACTGACGTAGGAGGCTAGGACCAGATACAGGAAGGAGGCTTCTGGGATTAGTGCATAGACAGAGTACGTGACCTAGGAAGTCAGGAAGGACACAGGAAGGAGGCGTCTGGGGTCAGTGCTACACAAAGGGACCCAGGAAGTCAGGAAGGTCACAGGAAGGAGGCGTCTGGGGTTGACGTTGCATATAGGGAGGGGACTAAGCAAAGGGAACTCGTTCTCTGCCGTCCCTCTCCCACGTGGCACCGCCCCTTGCCTCAGGAGCACAAGCTCCAGCTACTTTCTTGCACCCAGCTTATCTCACATAGCACTGCCCACTGCCTCAGGGCTTCTCCGTACCCAGCCCATCCCAGTCCACCACGACTCTGCCTACCACAGCCCCTGCCTCAACTTCCAAAATACCCAGATCTACCCCAATCTTGCCACAGAGCCCACCTGGTAGTTGCCAACATCAGACAGTCTCTCACAGATATTTTGTTACCTTAGGTAACAATTTTATTTCACTTAGATTTTCTGTTCGTACTCTTAGTTCTTTCATTTGTCAAAACTAGGTAAATAACTTGTTGTGAGTACCCCTAATTTTATAGATTTAGAATCATAGATTAAGAATTGGGTAAGGGACCATATAAATCATTAAGTCTATCCTCCCATTTTACATGAGGAAACTGAGGCACAGAAAAGCTACATGATTTGCCTAGGGTCACACAGGTAAGTCTCTGAAGTGAGATTTGAACCTTACAGTCTTCCTGACTCCAAATACATTACCAAGTAATACTAGGTTGTACGTACACGCGCACGCGCGCGCGCGTGTGTGTGTGTGTGTGTGTGTGAACACAGATACATATTATTTTATAAATATATAACACACTTCCCTTACAAACAACCCTGTGAGGAAGATATTATTTCCTCATTGTTAAAGTATGAGAGTTGAGGTTTAGAGAGTCTAAGTGATTTGTCCAAGTCCTACATAGTAAATGGTGAAGATAGAGTTTAAACATGGGTTTGTGACTTTAATTCCAGTGTCCTTTCCATACATCATGTTCTCTCTTTAATCAATGCCTCCTTCAACCCCAACCAATATCAAAATAACCTTGCCTTTTACTTTACTGAAAAAAATAGAGGCCATCTGCTGTTAGTTCCTTTGTCTTTCCTACTCAACACCTCAGAACCTTTTACATCTTCACTCATACATGACTTCCTTACTTATATCTCTTTGGAAAGAAATGACCTTTCTCTTTGCCAGGTACAAGCCTTCTACCAGTACCCTTGATTCTGTAACTCTTGTTTCAAGGAGCTCACCCTAGCAGTCATTGTCTTTCTACCTAGCCACCTAGCTGGCTCTTTACTGGTTCTTTTCAATAGCTGCTTATAAATCTACTTAAATCTACCCAATTCTGAAAAATCCTTCATTAGACTCTGCCAGCTTTTCTCCCTTTCACTGTTATAAGCACTTTGCATCATGTATACCCACTGTCTCCTCTTCTCTGCGCAGTTCAATTGAGTAAACATTTATTATGTGCAAGGCACTGAGAATGCTTTGGTTTTGTGATCTCATTAAAGTGGATACTACTTTCAGTGATATACTTTACAAAGCATTGATGTGTGGCCATTATGTACTATTCTGGTCCCTGTCATCTAGTTAGTCATCATAGAGTAAACCTAAGGTGGTGGAGAGATATTTAGTATATGCTGTATAAATTTGCTTTAGTTCCTATGCAGAAACTCTTTCATTTGCAGATTGTCAAAAAAGACCTACCAATATGTTGAGAAAAGCTTGAGGACTTATTAAACACTCTCTGTCAAGAATTTCAAAGAAACCAGGGAAAAGGGATGTAAAGGAAGGAGATTCAGCAGTATCAGATCTTAAATTATATTATAAGGCCCAGAGCATTGTTGAAGTGTAAAATGGATAAGTTGAACTATTTTAAATTAAAAATATCTTGCATAAGTAAAACCAATGTAGCCAAGAATAGAAGGAATGCAGAAAATTGGGGGAAAAAACTTTCATAGACAATCTCTCAGATAGGATGTGAATGTGTTGGAATACTGCTATGGTATAGGAAATGATGAGCTGGTTAGTTTAGAAAAACATGGGAAGACTTGGACATATGAAGGAAGATGCTATCAACCTCCAGAGAAAGAGATGACAAGTGGAAATATGCATAGTACAGTATTACATATATGTGTACGAGTATGTATTTGTACATATGTGTGTGTTTATAGAAATCTATGTATGTGTGTATATTTCCCGAAGTTTAACAGTAGCCTTCTTTAGGGTACGGGATGGGGAGGGAAGGAAAAAAATAAAGTAAAAAATGCACAGCAGACAATAAAAGAAAACCTAGAAGGAAGCAAAGAAAAGCTGGGTAGCTTTGAAAATAATGTGTAGTATTTATTGTATAGGTCTTATATTGAATCCTTTCTTATGTTCTGCTGTATACGTATTAATATTCTTTTTTTTTTCATTTTGTGTTAAAGTTTAAAATGGATAAAAAATTTACGAAAAAAACACCCTCCATGAACTTAGGATACTGAATTGAGAAACTTCTAAGTTGATAAAATAGTGTATTTTTATTCCAATAGATCATGATGTTGATGATGATAGTAGCTATGATATATTAGCCAACTCATTAAGCATTTATTAAGTGCCTACTATGTGCCTGGCATTTGTATCTGAATACAGAGACAGGGCAACTAGGTGGCGCAATGGATAGAGTGCTAGGCATGGAGTCAGGAAGATTTATCTTTCTGAGTTCAAATATAGCCTCAGACACTAGTTGTGTGAACCTGGGCAAGTCACTTAATTTGCCTCAGTTCCTCATCTGTAAAAGGAGCTGAAGAACGAAATGGCAAACCACTCCAGTATCTCTGCCAAGAAAACCCCAAATGGAGTCACAAAGAGTCAGGCGTGAGTAAAACAACTGAACAGCAACAACAAAACAGAGACAAAAGTGAAACAATTCCCTTCCCTCAGACATTACATTCTATTGGAGAAACAACATGTAATATGGTTATGTACAAGATAGATACAATGTAATTTTTATTTTTTTCCAATTACATATAAAAACGATTGTTAACATTCATTTTTTTAAACTTTTTAGTTTCAAATTCTGTTCTTCTCTCCCCCTTCCCTAAGATGACAAACAATTTGATAATAGGTTACACATATGCAGTCATATAAAGCGTATTTCCATATTAGTCATGTGATACAACGTAATTTGAAGGAGGCACTAGCAACTAAGGGGAATGAGAAATATTGATATATTGTCACTTGTGTTGAGTCTGCCTCTGTGAGAACCCCATCACAGTGAATACCAGATTTTTGCCCTTTTAGAGGGCTTTGCTGAGGAATTGCCCCTTTCCTTTCAGCGAGGGGCTGGGTAGTTAGTTATATAAAGAGTGTTTCACCTTCCCCATCTTATGAAGCAAAGCAGCTCTCAATAATTCTACCTTCTAGTCCCTGGGTAAAGGACAATTATGGAGGTAACCACTGGCAACAATATGGAGGAAGCTTATCCTTTCCAAATTAAAGTTAAGCATAGTTCTCTGGTAGACCTGCTTGCGGTGCCTCCTCTACTGTGCTTTGACACTGCTTTCCTGGCTGGAGCCAATATGATCTCGCTTTTCTGGGCTTGAGTACTGCCATAGATAACATTGCCAACATTGCCGTTGCTTCTTTATGCCAAGCCCAGGCATTACCTCTAATCCCTTTGTGCTGGGGCCTGAGGCTACTGCTGTCCCTTTGTAAAGGTCTGGGTGCTACTACTTCTTCTTGTGGCCAGGCTGAGTGTTGTTGCCAGGGAATAATAAGTATCACATTTGTTGCTATTGCCCACTATGTCAGGGATGAGGCAACTGCTATTCCCCTTAGAATGGGGTCCCAACTTTTTGCTAGATGTGTTGCCACTGCACCATCCCCCCCTCCCAAATGCTGCCTCCAAGTTTAGGAACGTACATATTAGGATAAGCTTTGCCCACCTCTGCTCAGGGGAAGACAAAACAAAATAGTTCATTCTTGGATTTGTTTAGGCCAGTACATGTGTGCGAACTGTATGTAGTTAGGAAAATGAATTCTTACATTGGTCAAATACAGATATTCGTTGTTGTTTATTTGTTTCAGTCATGTCTAACTCTTCGTGACCCCATTTGGGGTTTTCTTGGCAAACATACTAGAGTGGTTTGCCATTTTCTTCCTGACTTCAGGCCTGACGCTCTATCCACTGCACCACTACTTGCCCGAATCCAAATATAAATACATCTCATTCTGTGTTGAGTCCATCACCTTTCTATTATGTGGGTAGCCTGCTTAATCATCAGTCCTCTGGAATTGCAATTGATTAGAGTTCTTAAGGCTTTCACAGTTGGTTTCTCTTTACAATGTAATTGTATAAATTGTTCTCTTAGTTCTGCTCAGATTACTTTGCATTAGTTGTACAATCTTCCTAGGATTCTCTTCTTTATTTATTTCATCATTTGTTACAGCACAGTGATATTCCATTATGTTTATAGGTCATAATTTTTTCTCACACTGTTCTCTGCCCATTCAGTTCTGGCCCTAACTCATTGTTCTTTTGAAGTTCTGTCCAAAATATGTGCTTGTAACACCTGAGTGTAAATTAGTTTATTTTTAGTGAACTTAAAATAGTTTATTTTTAAACCTGAGAGTAATATAATGGCCCATAGGGTCAATATAGGTCCCTTTTTTATTTGTAGGGAGTTTATTTTCAATGAAAATTATGAGTTCAATTACAAATGTTCTGATCCCGTTGTTAGGAAAATTCCTGACATGTAGGCAGAGGCTGAGCTCTGTCTAAATTTTACATTTGTATCTATCTCTAATCCTGGATTTTTTGTGGTTGAGACAAAATTCAGTTTTTTGGAAACATTTAGGGAATGAAGACATCATTAGAGATGGTTTTCTCAGGGAGTTTAGCCATGAAAGGGAGGAAAAATAAAGGTGATAGCTAGTTGAGATGGATGGATCAAGTGAGAGTTTTTAAAGGGTAAGCAAGACATGAGTATGTTTCTAGGCAGCAGTGAAGCAGCAAGTAAACAGTCAGAGACTGAAAATTAATGAGAAGTGGGGATGGTAGAGGAGGCAATCTGCTGGAAAAGACATAGTGGAATGTACATGAATGTGAAGGAGTTGCTTCTGTAAGGAGAAGGGCCATCGTGTCATGTGAGACGGGGCAAAGGAAGAGATCATAGTATAGACATCTAAGTGATGTGAGATGAGGAAGAAGAGAAAGAGGGAATTCTCAGCAAATGGCCTTGGATTTTTTTTTTTGGAGGCATGGTTCTTAGCTGAAAGGACAAAGGGAAGGGTGTCATGAAAGGTTTGAGGAGGGATGAAAACATTTAAAAAGCCACTAGGAGGAATAGGTCAGTTATTCAATTAGGGAGACATAAAAGATTGTCATGCTACAGGTCCAGTTGATATTAATATGACATAAATTTTCAGTGTATCCTAGTCAGCCCGGTATTGTGATTTTTCTCTAGTTCCATTTAGCAGTGAATGAATTAGGAGTGAAGGCAATGGATGTTGGGAATAATCCAATATTCAGCCTTAATTTGCTAATTTTTTTCCTTGAGAAACCAATTTGATTTCCAATCTCACTCAACCGAAACTGCACTCTCTAAAGATACCAATGATTTCTTAATTTCCGAATCTAATGGTCTTTTCTCAATTCTCATCATCCATGACTTTCTGCAGCCTTTGACAATGTCAGTCACACTATTCTTGTTACTTTTTGCTCTCTGGGTTGTTGTGGCGTTGGTCTCTCCTGGTTCTCTTCCTACTTGCCTGACCATGCCTTTTCTTAGTCTCCTTTGCATGATTGGCAATAGGATAAGTGTAAAGTTGAAATGGTTCTCCAAGGAGTTGAGATAAGGTATGAAGAAGTGCATTATTAGGGTGATGGCCAGGGAAAGAACTGAAGGCTAGGGGGGATTGGAGGCAAGGAGGAAGGGATGAGAAGAATAGGTCTTAAGGTCATATGACAGAGGGAGAGGTAGAATAATAAAAATATTATGATCAGATTAATGGGGAGCAGCTAAGTGGTGCAGTGGATAGAACACCGGCCCTGGATTCAGGAGGACCTGAGTTCACATCCAGCCTCAGACACATAACACTTACTAGCTTTGTGACCCTGGGCAAGTCACTGAACCCCATTGCCTAAACTAAAAATAAAAAAAGTAAGGAAGGAGAATTTCCTGAGGGTCCATAGCTAAGAGCTATTCAAATCTCAATTGGGGAATAAATATGGATTGAGGGATTCTCAGAGGAGGAGAGGTTCACAAGTGATGGTGGTAGAGGCAGATTTTGGAAGTAATAACAAGGAGCAATTGGTGCTGTCAGAGGATTGTCACTGCTGTGTTACAGTATCTCGGGGAAGAGCCAGGTCTCAGTGAGTGCAAGAAGATGAAAAGAATGAGAAAGGAAAAGTTTTAAAATGAAAGCAATATTATTAACTATGGAGCAGGCATTCCAGAGAACAAAGTAAAAAGGTAGATAGATCTGGAGGTAAACATTAGCATTAGAGTTGAGAAGAGAAGTGGAAGTAAGGCAGTTTGCAGTGGGGAATATTGAGATTGGAGTTTGTATAATGGCAACTTAGGGTTCAGAATCACTGTAATGGGGTGAGTGGGATGGAGATGAGAGTATTTCAGCTACTACCCAATTGATGGGTAGTCCCTCCTTGTTTGCTGCTATAAAAAGAGTTGCTATAAGTATTTTTGTACATATGGATCTTTTTCCTCTTCTTTGATTTGTTTGGGGTATGGAACTAGTTGTGGTACTGCTAGGTCAAAGGGTATATGTATACAATTTAATAATTTCTGGGGCATAGTTTCAAATTGCTTTCTAGATTGGTGGTACCAATTCATAGCTTCACCAAGAATACATTAATCTGCCTATTTTTCTGTAACCCTACCAAATTGGTCATTTTGCCATCTTTGCCAATCAGAGGGATGTGAGATGGAACCTGAGTGGCTTTAATTTGCATTTCTTTAATGATTAGTGATTTGGATCATTTTTTTGATATGGCTGTCAATAGCTTGGATTCTTCCTTTAAAAACTATCTTTTCTAGGTAGTACAGTGGGTAGCCCTGAAGTCAGGAGGACCTGAGTTCAAATCTGGCCTTAGACCAAACACACATCAGCTGTGTGACCCTGGGCAAGTCACTTAACCCCAATTACCTAAAAAAATAAAAAACTTCCTTTTTTTATGTCCCTTGAATATTTGTCAATTATAGAAAGACCCAGTCAGTATTTTTTTAAATCTTATTTTGAATTTCTACTTGAAGATAGTATTATTTTAAAGGTACTCTCTAGTACAGGGATTCTTAACTTTTTTGTGTATTGAATCTATAGCATATTCTGATGAAGGCTATGGAACCTCTTCTCAGAATAATAATGCTTTTAAATACATAAAATAACATACATAGAATTTATAAAGGAAATCAAAGGTTAGTGAAAACAAAAAGTATTTTTTCCCATCTAAATTCAAAGACCTCCTGAAATCTATACAGAGACCCTGGACTTCAGATGATGAACCCTTGTTCTAATGCTTTCTACTTCATATTTAATTTTAATTTAAAAGTTGCTTTAGTACCTGTTGAGCTATGCCTTGTACCGTGCTAATAAGAATTTTAAAAAATCTTTTCAGATTAAAAAAGTAATGATATTTAACCAACCTGGTTAATTATTTTAGTATTTCTTTTTCTCCTTTTAGGCCAGTTGAAAGATTTGAGAGGGAAAGACCAATTAGAGGCCGTGGAGGCATAAGAGGTGGAATGCGAAGCAGAGGAAGAAGTGGTGGAATGAACAGAACTTTTGATGGGTTTGACCAAAGAGGGAAGAGAGAATTTGAAAGACACATTGGTGGAAATGATAAAATGTAAGTTCTTTTGGATATGCTGTTTTTGCTGTAGCATTAGATAATATGAAATGTTCTTATGGTTTAAATTAATTTTGAATTAATATGCCTTTTATGTAGCTTCCCACCTTTTTGTTTAGATTATTTCTGAATTGGAAGACTAAGGGAAATAGGTCTTCAATTTAAAAGAATATTGTTTCTGCCTCTAGAGCAATCAGAGCAGAAGACAGAAAGGGTGGAAGGGGGCTTATAAATAGGGATCAGTTTAAGACAATATAAGGTGCAATCCATATTTGTGCCCACTGTACATTCTGAAATCAAATGGAAAATTTATTATCTTGTCATCTTTTGGGGAAGCAGAATGGCATAATAAAGTGCTGAGTGCTAAATTTCAGAATCAGAAAGATGTGGGTTCAAATCCTCCTTCAAACATGTCTTAGCTGTGAGACTCTGATTAAATCACTTCCCCTCTCAGAACCTCAGTTTCCTCATCAACAAAAGGCAAATAATATCACCTACCTCTCAAGTTTGTGTAAGAAGCAAAAGAAATGATGCATATGAAACACTTTGCAAGTCTTTGAAAAGCTGTATCTAGATGTGAACTGTTCTCATTGCCCAGGAGTCTGCTTTCCTTTCCTAAAAACAGTTTTCCTCAGTGATCTGTTTGAAATATCTTTGTATTTGTGGGTCATTAAGGAGGGCCTGCTTTAAAGGCAAATATGTATTTTTAAGGTGTCTTGTTCATAAAATTCATGGACTGAGTGGACTTAAATGAAATTTCATTCAACTAACATTTGGGTGCCTGGCTCTTTTGCAGTGTACTGACATTTTAATTTCCTTTTTTAATTTCACCAAATAGTGTACTGTTTTATTATTTTGAGTGAATAGTTTTATAATCTGTCAACCAACTGTTTGAGCACCTACTGTGTTTCTATATGCAGATTCCTCAGTGTTTTTATAACAAATTATCTAGGGCTTTAAGATTTTCAAAACCCTTTCTCACCAAATCCCTGTGAAATAGGTACTATGTATATTATTGTCCTTATTTTACATGAGAAAATAGATTTTGTGAGGTTAAGAGAGTATTGTCCCTGGTCACACAGCTGTTGAGTGACAGTGGTATGATTTGAATTCAGGTTTCCTGACTCTGAATCCAGTATGTTTCTACTATATCACAGCGCCTCATAGAAACAATTAAGTAAACACACTTAATTTTTCTCAATATTTTTGTAAGTCCATGACATTTTACTTTTTTTACTCTGTTTTTTTATTCTCTTAAATTTACTCTCTTAAAATTGTTTCCAGAATTCAGATGCATTTTTTTAGCCAGGGGCAGAAAACTGAAAGAAAAGTCTATGTTGATGTTGAAATTTTTCAAATTTCTCTTGGTGCTTTTATTCCATCAGATTTTTCTTGTTTTTTTTTTTTTGTTTGTTTTTGTTTTTTGTTTTCCTTTTTGGTGAGGCAATTGGGGTTAAGTGACTCGCCCAGGGACACACGGCTAGTAAGTGTCAAGTGTCTGAGGTCGGATTTGAACTCAGGTTCTTCTGACTCCAAGGTCAGAGTTCTATCCACTGTGCCACCTAGCTGCCTCATATTCCATCAGATTTTTAATTCTTTTCATCCCTTTTCTCTCCCCCTGCTTTTTCTATCTTTCATAACAACTGTAACAATATTGAGATATTCCCCAACTGACTTTTATAAAAATGGGTATCTTGATGTCCAAAGATCCATTCTATCGTGTAATATTTCTGCTTATTAGAAAGAGTGGAACCAGGTTTCAGGATAGATTGCTTCTATGAGCTAGAAAATATGTCTGTAGATGAAAAAAATTCTGGGATTAGTCAGATTTCTGTGATACTAAAATGGTTGCTTTTGTTGTTGTTTTTGGGTCTAGACCTGTGATTTCATCCAAGGATACCATATCCTTGCTATGAAAATACATGACTGGGCATCTTCATCTGTAACAGTTGTTATAGATGTTAACAGCCACTAAAAGGCTAAGTAACTTGCCCACGGTCACACAACCAGTATGTTTGGGAGGTCATGTTTCAACACAGAACTTTCTGACTCCAAAGGGCCCATCCTCCATATACTCACTTCATTGCTTTTCTTTCTTTTCTTTTTCCCTTAGGATTGTTATAATATTTATAAACACATCTTTAAATTTGGTAGCTTGATATATGCAAGATTCTTTTTAAGAAGTGAAAGGATTCATTGAGTTTTTGTTGGCATGGAAGGGAGTCTTAATTTTTGTTTCCCTTTCTGTTCATTGTTATTTTTGTCCTTTCTAGTTTTAGTACTATTAGTGGGACCATTAACTGGCAGCAAACCTCAACTTTTTTGCCTTTTTTGGGATTATTGTATAAATATGAATAAGAGGCCAAACAAAAAAAAACTTTGAAGTTTGATGTATTAGCAATGCAGTTCTGCTAGAATGCTCTGCATGCATCTATACATTCACCATACAAATATTTTTAAAAATTTTCTGGGTAGCTAGGTGGTTCAGTGGATAGAGTGTCAGCCCTGGAGTCAGAGGGATCTGAATTCTAATTTAACCTCTGACACACTTACTAGCTGTATGACCCTGGGCAAGTCACTTAATCCCAATTGCCCTTCAAAATAATAAATAAATAAAATGAAAATTTTTCTGTTCATTAGTGAGAAAACTGGCAAGGAACAGTGAAATTGATTATCTTAAGTGGTAAAATAATAAAAAAAAATCATTCTTTTTTTAATTCTTTTTGGTTTGCAGAGGCATTTAAAATACAGAGGTATTTCAAACTAATATTTGAATATATGTACCTCTAACATTATTGGAATTTATAGTATTTAACTAGGATTCAATGCTGTAAAAAAAGGAAAAAAAAGGCAGATCTCTTTAGCTTGTTCATTTTGCCTTCCTGTTCAGTTCTTCTACTTTATCTTGGAATGGCAACCCTTTTCCATGGGTAATCTGTGTTCATATACTCAAAAATTGCTGCATGTGTAAAACATTTCTGTATCTGTTTACATTTACAGTATATTATGTCTGTTTGTTACGGCTTATGTATGGAAGCTGGCTTATTTGTAAATAAACCTGCCCACTTATAAATTGGAAGGTCTGACTTGTTATCTGTTTGTAGGTTGGAAGGATGACCTATCCAAATTTAATTAAGGACTTTAAAAAAAAAGGATAATTTCCAGATTTTCTTAAGTTACAAAACAGTGAATAAGGGAAAAAACCATTTAGTTAGTAGACCATAAGCTTAAAAAAACATTGCATTATAAGTTTATTTCATCAAGCTAAAAGGAAAATCTGTGCTTGCCAAGAAGAGAATTGGTATTTGCTGTCATATCCAATGGAGAATCCAAATCTGAGAGGGATTCCCATAATACAACTATAGACACTGTCTTCAGAAACAGAAGATCTGGACTCCAGTGCCACCTCTGTTATATACTACTTGTGATACTTTAATAAATCATAACTTTCCTGGGCCTCCATTTCCTGATCTATGAAATGAGGGAGTTGGACTAGGTGTCCCCCCAAAGTCCCTTCTAACTCTAGATCTATGATTATGTGATCTCTCTGGACAGTGAGGTCCTCCAGGTGCTCATTTACACTTGGCATTGACCTTATATATCAAGTCTTGAAACATATTAGAAATTCCTAAATGCCCTCACTATCCACACAGAAAGCTGAGTGGATGAAGAATGCCTACTATCCACGTGATGTTATACAGTTAAAAGAATAAGCCATATGGCTTGTTTATCATCTCTCTGCAGATGACTCATAGATCTTCATATTCATCCCTAGTTTGTTTGGGTTTTTTTTTTTGCCAGAACTATATTGTTCATATGCAACTGAATGTTCCATAGGCAACTTAAATTCACCATATCCAAAAACATCCTCTTATTCTCCAACCCACTACCTATACAGCCACCACCCTAGTTCTTGTTGCCCAGACTATTGTAATAGCCTCTTAATTAGTCTCCCTGCCTCAGATTTCTCCCCTCTCTAATCCATCCTCTGTCAAAAGTGATATTTCTAAAGCACAAGCCTGACCATATTAATGCAGTAGCTCTCTTTTGCTCAAGGAATAAAATACAAACTTTTTTAGTATTTAAAACCCTTCACAATATGACTCCAGCTTGCCTTTCCTGATTTATTATACATTGCTCCCATTCATTCTCTGTTCCTGTCAAACTTTATTACTTGCTATTTCTTCTACATAATATTCAGTCACCTGTCTCTGTGCCTTTCCATGGGTTAACCCTGGTACCTGGAATGTACTCCTTTCTCACCTTGGTTCAGCCCTAATGCCAGTTTCTACATGAGACTTTTCTTAATCTCCCCAGCCGCTAGTGCTTCAGCCCACCCTCAAGAAACTACTTCGTATTTACTTGCTATATATTTTGTATATACTTGTATGCATACATGTTTTCATAATAGAAGACAAGCTGCATTTTGTTTTTGTCTTTATTATCACTGAGCTAAGGCACAGTGCTTGGCTAATAATAGGTACTTGTTTAATTTCAGTCATGTTTGACTCTTCATGACACCACTTGGGGTTTTCTTGACAAAGATACGGAGTGGTTGTGCCATTTCCTTCTCCAGCTCTTTACAGATGAGGAAGCTGAGGCAAACAAGGTTAAGTGATTTGCCCAGAGTCACACAGCTAGTAAATGTCTAAGGCCGGATTTGACCTCAGGTCTTTCTGACTCCAGGTCTGGCACTCTATCCACTGTGCCACCTAGCTGTCCACCAGCAACAACAAAACTTGGGCACACTGTATATGGGCAGTGAGCCAGAGCCACAACTGAACAGGTGAAGATCATCATAATTGCCTTTGGGAAATTGCAGTTTATTTAATGACCCCAAGCATCTCTCTGAAACAAAGATCCATATTTCTAACCAGTATTTTAAAAAAGATTGAGTTTTTTATATGTTGTCATTATTTCCTAATTATACCATCCTTCTAGAATTGCCTCTTGTAACAAAGAAATACAATTAAGCAAAATAGATCAACAGCCTATGCAATCTACCACTTCTCTACTGGATGGAAATAGAGGTATTTCATCATTAGTCCTCTTGGTCAGTGCTTTGATCTAGAAACAGCTAGGTGTGAGGCAGTGGTGTTGGACTTGGAGTTACGAAGAACTTGTTTGAATCCTTCCCCAGACCTTAATTGTGTGACCCTGGCAAGTCCATTAACTTTGTCAGCCTCAGTTTCTTCATCTGTAAAATGTGGTAATAATAGAATCTACCTCACAGGGTTGTTAAGATCAAATGAAATAATATATATAAAGTATATTGCAAACTTTAAAGTGCTATATAAAATCTAGGTCTTTATGTTATCATCCAAATGCAGATATCTTTTACTCTTATTTTTCCTTTATGTTATCATGGTCATTATATCTCTTGTTTTCTTAGTACTACTATTTTCATTTCATAAAAGTCTTTCCGAGGATCTCTGAATTCTTCAGATTCATACAGTACTTCTTAACAGCACAGTAATATTCCATTAATTCATAATTTCTTCAGATGTTCCCCAAATACCTGTATTTTTCTGATGATGTTTGAACAAGGACTCGTGGGGTACCACAGTCTTTATGAGTAATGGAGAGATATATGGTAGCTGTGAACAGGCTACAACATATTAAAGATGAAGACTTGCACAGTATAAATGATGTAAAAATGTAATCAGAGAAGTAGGAAAAAAGATAGACATACTATGTATTAAAAGTGAAATATAATTAATGTATAGCCCACTCTCAAAAATACTACCAATATTGTACCCTGCATTTTTATGTTCATCTGCCAGAAGCAATTTTATTTAACTTAACATTAACCTAATATGCAAACATTTATAACTTGGAGAGATAAATGTTCAAACTGGCATAGTCCAGTTCCCTATGACCTCCAATATGACTCTCTGCCCCCACAATGATGTTAGTAAAATTTTTATGTGTCTTGAAGATATATTAAAGTACAATTTGAGTTAACATTCTGGAATAGATAAATGATAATCCCATTCCCTCTTGGACAACTCTCTCCCTTATGGAGTAAGCAAAGGGAACTCCTTGAGATAGATATTATTATCCTTTCACAGCAGAGAAGATTGAGTTATGGCTCCATCACTTTAGGCATGTGTGGAAGCAGTGACAAGAAAAGATTGGGTACTACCCAACATTAATCCATTAAATAATTTTGTACCTTACTGAAGTGTTCAAAAAAAAGTAAGTATTCTTTTATTCAGTTTTCATTTGAGATTTGGTGTTTTTGCGATTAGCATTAGAATAAATAGGAAAACATTTATTTGAAGGCTATTGTGTTGGATAGATAAATTGTCAAACAAATGATGGGAACTCATAGTCTTCAAAAGAAATGTGTAGGCTATCCACAATTATTTGAAAGAATGCTTCAAATCATTAATAATAGAAACACAAATTATTTCTGAGGTTTCACCTCCCACCTATCATATTGGCAAGGATGGCAAAAAGACAAAAATCTCAAATGTTGGAGGGGTTGTAGAAAGACAAGCATAGTAATGCATTGTTGGTAGAACTTAAATTGGTCCAACTATTCTGGGAACACAATTTGGAATTATACTAAAAAAAAATCACTAACCTATATATCCTTTAATCCAGCTATGTCTCTATAGAGATTAAAAGCAGAAGGAAAAGCTCCTTCTGTATGAAAATATTTATAGTAGCATGGTTTTAGAAGCAAAGAACTGGAAGGACAGTGAATGCCCATCAACTGGAAAATGGCTGAAGAAATTGTGCCACATGAGTATAATAAAATAGAATTGAATTTTCGCCAGTTCTGTTCAACACATGAGTTGTTTGAATTTTAAATAGAAATGTATATTTGTCTGTTGTATAAGCAAAAGTAATGTCTGTGTTTCAGAGGTGCTTTTTGCTAAACCAGTGATTCTCAAGTTGTTTGAGGCTGACAGACACTCTCTTGTATACATTTGTTTATTTGTTTATTTTTTGCAATGTTGCCACCCTTTAGTCTCTGCTATGGATTTTTCTTAAGAATTTTATATGTTTTATATATTATATTATGTATGATATATATTTTTATATTATGTATGATATATATTTATATATCATACTTATAAATTTATATAATATATAACATATTCATATGTTATATATAATTTATATATTTTAAAATTCAAGTTACTTATGGCTCATTTTCATAATTGAAAATACACTGGAATATCCAATTATAGAATGGGAGATCATTTATAGTAATTTTTTCCTATGTTAGAAAATTTCTCTGAACATCTGTAATCAAAAATCTTAGTATTTCCTATAGCTATAATTTCTAATTTTTGTTTGTATGGGAGAGAATCTCAGATTACAACTTGTTATTTTAGAATAATTTATTCTTCATGTTTGAGTTCAAAGAAATACAATGATCCTTTTTATTTTCAATGATAATTGCCAAGGTGATATATAAATGATATCTAGTGATGTCATAATATTATGGGAAAATTAAAAGTTGCTTCTTAAGAAATCAAGAAATAAGATATTTGAAAAATATCACCTGGATTTTTGATTCATCACATTTCAACATACATATTTTTGTGGATAGCAATAACGATTTTTATTATGACTATATTTCTATTATTTTACAGTGAGTTGGAACAAACTGCTCCCATGGAAGAGAGTGCAGAAATAGAAGAGCACCAGGGAGTACCTGAAGGAGAATCTTTGACTAAGTATAGTGTTTCATCTAAGTATTCTTAATTTGAGCATGCTTTCAACAGTATCAGTCAATTGATTCAGAAACATAGTAATACAATAAAACTGCTAAAAGATAGTCTTTCAATAGTTATTTCACTATTAGCGATACATATATGTTTCAAAGACTAGGTCTTGTGACCATATTGTAAATCTTAGAATTTCTACCAGTGAACCAGCATTGACCAAGCAATTGATATCCTTATTTTTTTCTCATTTATTCCTTGTAACATTCACTGTTTAGGCAGATGGCAGCAGATTTATAACTTGTTGATTTTGTATAATTCAAATTTTGTGGTCATGTTTAATACAATTTGTTTTTTCAGAAGGGACTACTGAGTTGTGACATTTAGTATTGTTAATATCAATATTAATGCTGTAATAACACTGTTAATATTAATATTGTTAATATCATTACCAGTATTCATAGAAACGTAAACTTATAGAGGAATAAAAATTGGCCAAAGCATATACCTCCAATTGGACTAACTTTCGTGCTAATTCTGGTATGTTAATTTTCTCTCTTATTAATACCTTTTGTTTTTTATACCACAGATACTTTCTGATATACATAACTTCCTTCTACCTTTTTCCTACCCCCATAGAAACTCTTCTTGTCCTAAAGAAAATCAGTTAAGTAAAATCATCACATCAGCTGTGTCAGATGGCATATGTAACACTCAGCATCTATAGACTTCTTTCTTTCTAGTGAGAGGAGGGAGATATGTTTCATGATGTGTCCTCTGGAACTAATTGTGATCATTGCCTTAAAACCTTAGTTTCTTACATCTATTTTTTCTGACAGACTTGTAACTGCATTGAAAACTTTCTACATTTTTCTCAGAAATGTCTTTTCATTGTTGTTTATTTTGATTTAAGCATTTTTCTGATAGCTTTTATTAAATATTCTCTTTTGAGTCTCCCTTCCCTCATCCTTTTTCATGTTCCTTTTAAATAATCACAGTGCCTGGCACATAATAGGCACTTAATAAATTCTTGTTGACTTGACTTGATATTCTACTTTTCTTTTTAAAAATGTATATTTATTTAATGTTTTATTTCCTTCTCACTTACATGTAAAAACATTTTTAACATTCTTTTTAAAATTTTTGAATTTCAAATTCTTTCCCCTCTTCCCTCCCTGTCATTGAGAAGGCAAGCAATTTGATATAGGTTATACATGTGCAGTCATGCAAAACATATTTCCATATTAATTATGATGTAAAAGAAAACAGACAAAAAAAACCCAAAGAAAGTAAAAAAGAGTATGCTTCAATCTTCATTCAGACTGCATCGGTTCTGTCCCTGATAGCATTTTTCATCATAAATCCTTTGGAATTGTCTTGAATCGTAGTATTGTTGAAAATAACTAAGTCAGGGGCAGCTAGGTGGAGCTGTGCATAGAGCTCTGGCCTTGGAGTCAAGAGGACCTGAGTTCAAAACCAACCTCAGACACTTGATACTTACTAGCTATGTGACCTTGGGCAAGTCACATAACCCTGACTGCCTCACCAAAAAAAAAAAAAATACCAAAAAAAAGAAAACAACTAAGTCATTCACAGTTAATTATCATATAATATTATTGTTACTGGTTTCTCTTGTTCTGCTTATTTCACTTTGCATTAGTTCATGTAAGTCTTGCCAGGTTTTTCTGAGAGCATCCTGTTCATCATTTCTTGTAGTACAGCAGTATTTCATGACAATCATATAACACATCTTGTTCAGCCATTCCCCAATTGATGGGCATCACCTCAATTTCCAATTCTGTCACCACTAAAAGAGCTGCTATAAATTTTTTTTCACATATAGATCCTTTTCTTTTTTCTTTTTTTAGCTCTTTGAAATACAGCCCTCATAGTGGTATATGCTGGGTCAAAGGGTGTGCAGTTTTATAGCCTTTTGGGCATAGTTCCAAGTTGTTTTCTAGAATAGTTAAATTAGTTCACAATTCCACCAGCTCTGAGCACATTAATGTCTCTTTTCCAACATCCCTCCAACATTTGTCATTTTCCTTTTTCGTCATACTAGCCAATCTGACAGGTATGGGGTGGTGCCTGTTAACAGGATTTTTACTGAGTCAGTCTCTAACCTGAGAGTGCTTGGAGCTGCACAAAGCAGGCTTAGAAACAGGAGTGCCAGTAGTCAGGTAGTTTAATTATTCAGTTTCAGAGTGAGGAATGTTCCCTTAGCTCAAGTAAAAGCATAGGTTATATACTTAAATCACAACTGTGGAGGGAGAAAGGTGGATTATAAACAATCATTTAGTGGTTTCACATGAGAAACCCACAAGTCCCACAATACAATAATTCTGGAGTCATGTCTTTGAGGGTCATGACCACCTACCCTAAAGTACAGAACCAGAGTTCTGTGATGGGAACAGGTTCTACACACTTTGATTCACTTCACTTAAGGTCCAGTTATTGTGAGCATTGTCAGAGTTCTGATTAATCAGTTTAAGCTTCATTGTGAGCTCTGACTCCAAAGCCAGAGAGGCAGCTCTTGAGAAAACTAAATTATTAGTATATTCATTACATATATCATATTGATTAATATGAAAATGATAAATTATAAATTTCTTTCTCATACTCAAGAGTTGTTTTAATTTGCATTTCCCTAATCAATAGTGAGAGCATTTTTTCATGTAACTATAGATAGCTTTAATTACTTTGTATGAAAACTTCCTGTTCAAATCCTCTGACCATTTATCAATTGGGGAATGGCTCTTATTTTTATAAATTTGACTCAGTTCTCTATATTTTGAGAAATGAGGCCTTTATCAGAGCAGCTTGCTGTAAAAATTTTTTCACCTTTATGATTACTAGCTGTGTGTTTCCCTCAATCTATTTCTTCTACTCTTTTTCTTTTCACCCTGTCCATCCTCAAATTTTGCTTCTGATTGCCACTTCCCCCAGTCTGCTGTCCTTTCCATCAGCCCCCTCTCATTATCTTATGCCCTTCCCCTCCTACTTTCCTGTAGGTTAAGATAGGTATCTATACGCAACTGAATGTGTATGTTATTCCCTCTTTGAGCCAATTCTGATAAAGGCGAGGTTCAAGCACCCTCCCTCCCATCTTCCCTATCTTCCTCTCCACTGCAAAAGCTTTTTTGAGCTTTCTCCCAGTGCATTCCTTTTTCTCACACGTTAATTTTCTTTTTTTAGATATCATCCCATCATATTCAGCTCACATTTATACCTTCTGTCTATATAATACTCCCAACTGCCCTAATAATTAGAATGTTATTAGAATTTACAAGTATCATCTTCCCACTTAGGAATGAAAACAGTCTAACCTTATTGAATCCCTTATGCTTTCTCTTTCATGTTTACCTTTTTATGCTTCTCTCGAGTCTTGTATTTGAAAATTAGATTTTTTTATTTAGCCCTGGTCTTTTCATCAGGAATACTTGAAAGTCCTTTATTTCATTAATTGTCCATTTTTACCCCTTAAAGAATTATACTCAGTTTTGCTGGTAGGTGATTCTTGGTTGTAATCCTTTATCCTTTGCCCTCTAAAATAACATATTTCAAGCCCTCTGATTCTTTAATGTGGAAACTACTAAATCTTGTGTTTTTCTGACTGTGACTCCACAGTATTTGAATTGTTTCTTTTTGGCTGCTTGCAGCATTTTCTCTTTGATCTGGGAGGTCTGGAATATGGGCTGTAATATTCCTGGGAGTTTTTATTTTGGGATCTCTTTCAAGAGATGATTGGTGGATTCTTTCAATTTCTGTTTTACCCTTTGGTTCTAGAATCTCAGGGCAGTCCTTGATAATTTCTTGAAAGATGATGTCTAGGCCCTTTTTTGATCATGACTGTCAGGTAATGCAATAATTTTAAAATTATCTCTCCTGGATCTATTTTCCATTTCAGTTGTTTTTCTAATGAGATATTTCCCATTGTCTTCTATTTTTTTCAGTCTTTTGATTTTGTTGTATTGTTTCTTGATGTCTCATGAAGTCCTTAACTTCCACTTGCCCAATTCTAAGTTTTAGGGAATTATATTCTTCAGTGAGCTTTTGTACCTCCTTTTCTATTTGGCCAGTTCTACTTTTCTTTTAATTAATTAATTTTTAGTTTTCAACATTCACTTCCACAAGAATTTGAATTCCAAATTTTCTCCCCATCTCTCCCCTCTCCCCACCTCAAGACAGCATGCATTCTGAACACCCCTTCCCCCAATCTGCCCTCCCTTCTGTCACCCCCCCACTTCTCTTATCCCCTTCCATTTCTATTTTCCTGTAGGTCAGGATAGATTTCTATACCCCATTGCCTGTATATCTTATTTCCCAGTCACATGTAAAAACAATTTTTAACATTCATTTTTAAAACTTTGAGTTCCAAATTCTCTCCCTCCATCCCCACCCACCCTCATTGAGAAGGCAGGCAGTTCGATGTAGGTTATACATGTGTAGTCATGTAAAACACTTCCATAATAGTCATGTTGTGAAAGACTAACTATATTTCTCTCCATCCTACCCCATCCCCTGTTTATTCTATTCTCTCCTTTGACCCTGTCCCTCCTCAAAAGTGTTTGCTTCTGATTACCCCCTCCCCTAATCTGCTCTGTATCATCACCCCCCCATCTTATCCCTTTCCCCCTTATTTTCCTGTAAGGTAAGAAAGATTCTCATACCCAATTGAGTGTGTATGTAATTCCCTCCTTAAGCCAAATCCAGTGAGAGTAAGATTCACTCATTCCCTCTCACCTCTCCCCTCTTCCCCTCCACTGTAAAAGCTTTTTCTTGCCTCTTTCATGTGAGATAATTTACCCCCATTCTACCTCTCCGTTTCTCCTTCTCTCAGAACAATTCTTTCTCACTCCTTAATTTTATTTTTTAGATATCATCCCTTAATATTCAACCTACCCTGTGCTCTCTCTCTCTCTCTCTCTCTCTCTCTCTCTCTCTCTCTCTCTCTTTCTCCCTCTCTCTCTCTCTTTCTGTCTCTCTGTATGCATGTATATATATACATTCAT